CAAATTTAATAAATTAGACAAATAAAGCTTTAAATACATCTAAATCATGAAGCTAAAAACTATTTCACATGTGTGAAGCTTGTATACTGGGGAGGAAGTGGTCTGCATTCATCTGAATAACAGAATTTTTGGAGTATACAATCACATTTCAAATTAGACTTCTCCCATTGGCTCTTAATTTTTTACAAAAAAGCACAGGAGGGGAACCGTTCCCCAAATGAAGTGAAAATGCTTCCCATAATTTAAGAAAGGCCTTTGAGCTTAAGGATAACAATTACCAATCCTAATAGGGCAATTCAAGACAGATAATGATAATGATTTTTCTACAGTCAAAAATACTCACTTTATGATTTTAATAAAAAACTTTATCAAGCTCAGCTCAAGTGTTTAATCTTTAAGGTTCCACGATTGATTGAATTGTAGTAAATAGTAGAGCAAAAGCTCAGCCTGAATTTCAGTGTTGCCTTGCTGAATCTTTGACCACAAACAAAACCAGTTTTGCAGGATCTGAACTTGAGTCCGTCCCTGGGACCAGAGGTTTGTTCTTCCAAGCTTTGAGACTTGTGCTTAGAGTCCATCCTCAGGGAATTTCTTAATCTCCAGCATGTGTGCACACATCCTGGAGATTAAGAAGTTCATGAGGATGGGCTCCAGCACCAATCCAAAAACTTAGAACAAAAAACCTCTGATCCCAGTGATCGATTCAGATTGGATCCTGCAACATTTTCCTGGGACATATATATTTGCCTTCATTTGCAAAACCAGCTTTATTTCTAATGGCAAAAGGAAGTAGGAATTAGAAAATAAACTTGTTTCCCCCAGGTGTTTGATATAAAACTGGTGCAGAGCTGCAAACAAGGATGGCTTTATTATTTGTTTTCTACTATAAAACTACAAACCCTTGGGGGGAAATAGAAGATGGTAATTGCATTTGCTTTTATTCAAAAATAGGAATATTTTATTTGTAATAACGTTCTCCCATTCAGATCATCAAGTCTTGAGCTTTTTTCAACTTCGTTGCAAGCATAGATGCTTATATAGTGATAGCCAGTAGATCAAACTCTTTAGGTGTACTTTTTTAATGTAGGCTGGCTAATCCAATCTTAGTCATAAATATAAATGCGGTATCCACAGTGCTGCAAACTGGAAATTCAGAATTCACTCTGCTAAATAAATACCTAGAACTTAAATAGCAACCAGTGTTTTTATTTTTGCATTTTTGATGGGTGTCTTCTAATTATTGTTGGCTCTTGGTAGGTGCCTGATGCATCTCCCAGCCTGGTGCCTTAAGCTCTACACTCAAACTATTTTTTTTTAACATTGTGAGCATTTAAATGCACAGTAGGCAACCTATTTTGATTTCAGTTATCTTAAGAGTGCAGCTTCCACAATCACCACTGTGATTGTGCTGATTGAAGCTGATGGTAGTTGCCCAAAACACACGGACAACACTTGATCTCCAGCAAATTCCAAAAAGAGTTGAACATACGTGGATTAGTGATCAACCAAATAAACCCAAAACACTTTATTTAAACGTGTCTGCAAGATTTGTAGGTGTATCTATGTGCAGGAGATAGTGTAAGAACAGTTATAGGGTGCTTTCAGCTACTGGTCTTAATTCTTTCTGGTCACTTGACTGAGCAATTGCCCCTTAGATTTCAAATTGAAGGCACGAGGGAGATTAGATAGATTATAGATGGATAATTTTCAGCAACGAAGTGTGAGCAACAGCATCTTTGCGTCTAATAACTGAACTGAAACAGTGTGAAAAGGAAGGTGCCTGGAGTGACAACTCCCAACATACCCCGTGATTAGATTTAAGAGCCTTGTTGCTTTCAACACAGCTAACGGGAAAGGAAGTATGAATCTCAGCAACCTGATCCATTTTTCTTTTGCTTGGCGGCCAATCGTATCATTGTGCTTCAGTTGCTCGGACAATCAGAGGAGGTGGAACCACATGGACTGGGGAAGCCCTGAAGAGAACGGGGCAATGTGTACCTGGGATGATTTCCTGGCCTGCAGCAGAGAAGCACCCTATGCAGGATTTGCACCTGACTGAAACTTAGAGTCTTTCACACCATGCTGACCGGCTTATTTGGCTTTCAGGCAATTGCGGATGGACTAATATCTCTTTCTCTCTATAGCCAGCAATACGTCTACCATTTTTATACACCTTGGCAAAAAGAAATCTGTAGGGCAGTAGTGGCGAACCTATAGCACGGGTGCCAGAGGCGGCACTCGGAGCCCTCTCTGTGGGCACGCATACCATGCCCCGGAGATGGCAACCATCCCTCTTCAACTAGCCGCCTGCTAACTCACCGAGGTCCCACGTGGCCGGATGCATCCCAGCATGGCTGGTTTCCCCCCTGTCCCATCCCTCCTGGCCTCACATGCTCTCTTTTTCCTGGGCATGACCCAGTACATCGCCTCCTCAGCTGTCGGCCATCTGTCCAGCTCAGAGGCGGCTTCTCTGAACTTCTGGTGGCGGACTACGGAGCCCCAGAGTGCGCCGGTCGAGGATCCAGCAGGCTTTGGATGCTGACAGACACTGTTGGCCCCCATACACTCGCTGGCCTCAGTGTGCGAAGGCCGATGGTGGGAGCCTCCTGCCCACTGCCCTACCTGCAAGAGACCCCCTGGATTTCCCCGAACCCGGCCCGGCCCCCACAGGCATCCCTCCCCATGAGCAACATTGAGGTGACCATGCCCACCATGGCCACGCCTACCCAGTCTGCCATGACCACCACAGCCACGCCCACCGAGTGGGCCACACCCACCTGGCACCCGGTAATAAATAAGTGGATTTTGGGTTGCAGTTTGGGCACTTGGTCTCTAAAAGGTTCGCCATCACTGCTGTAGGGAATCACTTCCAAAATTTTCTGTGCTGTGTAAATCCCTTTTACTCTAAGCCCGTCTCAGCGATTCAGCAGATAAATATTGAATGTGTTATAGTTTAAATCTGCAAATCTGGATTTAAGGTCTTTATTTGCCGTGAGAAATCTTAATGATAGCACTAATATTTGGAGGGAATTACAAAACATTAATTTTTAAAGAAATCTTGGCTATTTTCCTTATTGTCTTTTTCCTGTCCGCTAACACTTAATTGAAGTTTGCAGCTGAGGTGTCCATTTGCTTGTAGTTCTGGCTGCAGTCTCTTCATAGGGTTCCCTTGTAATTATTTCATTTAATAGGAATAATTAACATTTCCACCTCTGATCTGCGTAAAACCTGGTGCCCTTTGCAAAAATGCACCCCCTCCCCTTAAGATGCGGGTCGCGACCCCTTTCAGAGGGGTTCCCCAAGACCATTGGAAAACACATATTTCCAATGGTCTTAGGAACCGAGACACTGCTCTGCATCCGTCTCCGCATGGCCTCCTCTGCCATTTGCAGAGAGAGAGACAGAGAGGCACTTTCGCTTCCCTTCTCTCTCTCTCTCTCTCACGCGGACTTACGTCCTGCACGGCTCCTGATTGGCCCTGTGCTCGGGTGCCCCACCCCCTGGGAGAAGCTCGGCCAGGGCCTTGGAGCCGCCCTGGGAAGCCCCGGGATCCCTGCTGGGAGCAGCCCACTGGAGGCTCCGCTGAGCGGGCCAGCCCTCCCGCAAGCCGCAGCCCAAGGGAGACCAGCCCCTGCAATCCCCAGCCAGCCTGACCATTGGACCTGCTGCCCGAGAAGGTGCGCTGGAGTCCAGGCTGCCGCGAAGGAAGAAGGAGATGCAGCAAAGATAGGAGAGCCGTCTCCTAGGGCCCGGTGCTAGCGGCGGCTTCCTTGCCCTCCACTTCCTCCTCCCCTTCTTCCTCCTGCTGCCCCCAAGGCGGCTCGCGCGGGCGTCAGGGCAAGAGGGGTGCCTGGGGGGAGCAGCCGGGCTGGCAGGGACCGCGCGGGACCAGCCCCCACTGCGGCTACATCGATGGATGGAGGATGAGGCTGGGCAGCGCAGAGTCCCAGCGGTGGCGGCAGCTGGGCTGGGGGCGGCGGGGACCCCCGACGATGCTGCCATGCTGCGCCAACGCTGGAGCCACTGCCTCCCGTCCTGCTACTCCTCCCCACCTGTTCGGCTGAGGACACGGCGGGGGTGGCGGCGGGGCAGGGGTGGCAGCAAGGAACCCCGATGATGCTGCCGTGCCGCTGCCAGAGCCACTGCCTCCCGTCCTGCTCCCCCTCCCATTTGGTTGAGGACGCGGCGGGGCAGCGGCCAGGCCGGGGGCGGCAGCGAGGAACCCCGATGATGCTGCCGTGCTGCCGCCGGAGCCTTCTGTCCTGCTTCCCCTCCCTGCCTGTTCGGCTGAGGACACGGCGGGGTGGCCCGGGCCAGGGTCGTTGGTGAGGAACCCTGATGATGCTGCCGTGCCGCCGGAGCCGCTGCCTCCCATCCTGCTCCCCCTCCCAGCCCGTTTGGCTGAGGATGCGGCCGGGCCAGGGCCGGCAGGGACCCCCCGACAATGCTGCCATAAGAGAGAGAGAGAGAGAGAGAGAGAGGGAGAGGGAGAGGAAAGAGAAACAGAGGAAAAGAGGAAAGAGAAAGAGAGAGAGGAAAGAGAAAGAGACAGAAAGAGGGAGGAAACAGAGAGAGGAAAGAGAAAGAGAGGAAAGAAAGGGGGAGAGGAAAGAGAAAAAGAGGAAAGGAAAAGGAAAAGAGGAGAAAGAAAGGGAGGAGAGAAAGAGGAAAAAGAGAAGAGAAAGAGAGAAAGAGGAAAGAGAAACAGGAAAAGAAAGGAAAGAGAGAAAGAAAGAAAGGGAGGAAAGAAAAAGAGGAAAAAGAGAAGAGAGGAAAGAGAAAGAGGAAAGAGATAGAGAAAGAAAGAGAGGAAAGAGAAACAGGAAAAGAGAGAGAAAAGAGAGAAAGAGAAAGAGAGGAAAGAGAGAGAGAGAAAGAGGGAGAGGAATGGGAGAGGAAGAGGGAGAGGAATGGCGCTTCTCCCAACCAGGCTGGGCAGAGCTGGATGGGGAGGGGTTGGGGGGGGGGTCACCACAACATGAGGAACAGTATTAAAGGGTCGCGGCATTAGGAAAGTTGAGAACCGCTGCCTTAAGAGGTTCTTCTTGAGCCCTAGGATTGCAAATCTAGACCCGCCCCCAATGCAGCCAATCTGCAACACGCTCCGAAAGTCTGCTGGGAACTGTAGTCATATGGCTCTCCTTTTGCCTCCCCAGGCCATAAAAAACATTCCTGGGTATGATCAAGAGGAATTCTGGGAGTTGTAGTCTAAGTGGACCTTTCCCTCTCTCTATAAAAAAAAAAAAGATTGATTTTTCTCCAAGCCAGGAATAGGTCGTAGAGATTGCAAACACTTTTATTACTTCTATTTTTTAATGTCTATTTAACACACGTGCAAGCACACGCCCTCTCACCGTTCCATTCACGAACGCTCGTATCTCACCTGGAAAACGCTGTAGATCCGTTTCTCCATCTCATTAATTGGTGCTCGGCGTTTCGCTCCTGATTGGCTGGTAGTAAAAAAAAGCACCTGCAGCTGAAAGCTATTTCAAGATTGCGGGAAAACAGCCTGGGACGATCACGGGTGTTGGTTTGATTTGCGCAGCGTGCTGCGACTTCTCTGAGAAATCGACAAAACGATGGCAGCGGTGAGTAGAAAAGGCAATGTAGGGTTTGTTTGTTTTTTCCTCGAGTCCAGAAGTGCTGATGTTGCGCAGCTGAGAAGTGATGGGAGTAATATGATTATCCTGTTTAGAGCGGTGGTTTTGAGGCTTGGCAACTTAAAAACGGCTGGACTCCAACTCTCAGCATTTCCTAGCCAGCATGGGAGTTGGAGTCCACCAAACCTTCAAATTGCCCAAGTTGAAAAACATTGCTTTAGATTAGAACTTTGGTGTAAAAGAAGTTAGCATTTTTTCAGAAGTGCAAAAGTTACATGGAGCTCCTGTTAAAATATACGGAAGAGAACATTAAAGGGAGTGGTCCATCTCGGTCAGATTTTTGTTTTCCCAGATTGGAGAAAAATGCACCAGGGCAAATTTCTTCTTCTTCCACAGCCCTGGTGGGAGAGTCTACAATGAAGTGTTTCTCAGTTTTGGCAACTTTAAAGTGGGTGGACTTCGACTCCCATCTTAAACTAACCAAGTTGAGAAACACGGCTGTAGTGCAGTGTTTCCCAAACTTGACAATTTTAAGGCATGAGGACTTCAACTCCCAGAATTCCACAGCCAGCAACGCTGGCTGTGGAATTCTGGGAGTTGAAGTCCACATGCCTTAAAATTGTCAAGTTTGGGAAACACTGCTGTAGTGCATCAGACACTGAGAGTAATTGACCCAGCCTGTTGGGTTATTTTTCCACCTTTTGATCCAATCCATTCTGAGAGTGTTGTGAATTGAATATTATCCTTATGTGGGGGGTAATTGGATTACGTAATGAAAAGATATTGCCCACTGCTTTGGATCTCTAACTGTTCTCCTTAGCAAAACTTGGCTTCCCATTGTGAGAAGAGGAGAAAATATTTTTTCTCTGCAATATGCATGATATGTAAGAACTTTCTCCTAAATGCCTTTGCATAAATGCTTTATACTTTCCAAGCTAAACCAGTGGTTCTCAACCTGTGGGTCGGGACCCCATTTGGGGTTGAACGACCATTTCATGGGGGTCGCCAAACAACGCAGTCCGCCATTTTTTCCCCCTTTTCCTTAGCTGTGCTACTCCCTTTTATTCTATTGGCTTTTGAAAGCCAATAGAATAGACTCTCTTGAATAGAGTCTAATTCTATTGGCTTTCAAAAGCCAATAGGAATTGTCCAGGCTGTCTCTGCCCTGCTGAGCCCGCCAAAAGTCCCATTCTGCAAACGGTGCTGCACCAGTTGAGTAGTCCTCAACTTACGACCGGTTGAGTAGTCCTCGACTTACGACCGGTTGGGGGTCACAGCATTAAAAAGGTTGAGAACCACTGAGCTAAACTATCTGAAATTGGCCCAATTACTTGATCACTTGGCTTTCAATACAGCTGCTGTTTCATATTGAATTGCAAGCTTGTTTTTCCTCTTTTCCTTGCATAATCTTTAATGGAAAGCTGTTTGTATTGAGTGTCATGTATACTAGATGTTTTCTACCTATCTAGGAAACGTTATTTATGAGCAATTAAGTTTACAGGACTTAGCCTAAACAAAACCACATTCATGCATTACGCTAAACTTTAATTAGGTTTGCTTAGCTTTAAACATGTCCAACCCAAACATTTGTACAGCAAATTGTAATAGAATGTGAGAAAGACCTTGAAATGCAGAATGGTCAGATAAGGGAGGGCATATCCTGTAGTCCATAATGGGCAGAGAATGAGGCTCAGAGGAGACCTTCCTTAGTTTCTCAGGCTGTAAAGGAGACAGAGAAAATTCCTATTTTCAGAATTGCAAGATTTTACAACAAAGTATGACTAGCTATCTAGTCACGTCTCCTCTCTGGTCTCCCTGGGAATACTAAGAAAAATAGGTTAGTATGATGTACAAATCTAGTCAGTTGTGGTTTATTCATGAAACCATGTGAAATCAGTGATGTGAAAATCTGGCTATGGTCTATAGCAGAAATAGAACATTTGTAGAAACTCTGAAGTGGCTGGAAAAACAATCTTAGGTTTCTGGGAAAACACTTCCAGAATTTGTATTGCATGTAATTTTTTAAATAACACGTGTTTAGTGTCTTTTAATCTCTAAACTAAAAATAACAAGGGAAGCACGTCTAAGCATAAAGGAGGAACAAGTGCTTTTTGCATGAAAGCTATTTTCCTAAAAACAATCAAATTGAAAAGTGCTTAATATATCATCATCTGCTCAGTAAAATCCTGCATGTTGTTTTACATAGAAGGTTTGTGTAAAGAAAAAAAAAAACATGATCCCTTGGGGAAGTTTTCTTTCCTGATTTCCCCCTCCCCTTCTTTCAGTTTTTTTTATCACTGGTCATGAGCTAATTACAGAATGTTGATTAATGTTCTTTTATGTTTTGGGCTGGAAGTTTGGCTATTCTCATCCCATGCTCTTCTTTTTTAGCAACTGGTTGCTAACATGAAAATCAGGTCTGGTGATTGCATCAAAGTAAAAGCCAAGATAGAAATAGATGCTGAAAGGTTTGTCAATAATAGAATTGTAGTTACATTATGAAGAATGTGGGGTTGAATTATTGGGTTGAATTCATTCTGTGATACTCTGAATCCATTTTTGTTCAGTGGATAGCTGGCCCTGTACATGACCTTTAAATGTATCATTCCTTTGGTGTAATTTTTTTTTTTTTTGAGAACCTGGGTAGTTTGTTTTTTTTTAAATGTCACAATTGTCTTTACATATGTAATGATATTCCCTTAATGAATGCCAAATAATGTAAAATCCTTCAAGGACTATAGTTCCAAGTCATTTAAAACACAGAGAAAATGAATCATATCGGTCTTTGTTGTGAAAAAAAGTTTGATCTTGGAATTGTTCTGCAATTCAGGGTTGTTTTTTTTTGCACGTGCATGTGGAGTACAAGCATGATGCGATTTTTCAAACTTGCCAACTTTAAGAAGTGTGGATTTCAGCTCCCATGTTTGCTGGCTGGGGAATTCTGGGAGCTGAAATCCACACACGTCTTGCTGATATTGAAAAATACTGATCCAGGGAAGGCAGGGTGTTAAAATTTGCCAGGCACATAGAATGAGAAGGTGAACATGGTTTGGCACATCAGATCTAACCTTTGAATGACTCAAAGGTCCAACATGTATTCATAAATTGGATAGTTTTGGATCAAATCCCAAATTACTCTGAGGTTAATTGCTGGATAGTTATTCTAATGCAGTCGGACTGTATTTTCTACTCTGGAAGAGAAAAGCTTAATTCTCTCCTGTGGAATTGGGAAATAAAGATGAAAGTACAGAGTAGCCTTGCAAATAGGGCTGCTCTGGACATCTCGTCTTTATGGTTTCTTTTTTATACTTGCACATGTACCATGGCTGTAGAGGTCTGAATATGACAATAGAATTCTTGGACTCTCTACTAATAATCAAAACTTGTTCTTCCTAGTTTTGCCATCAACTTGGGCAAGAATGAGTCTGAGCTGGTCCTTCACTACAACCCCCGCTTTGAGAGCCAAGGGGATGTTAGGACCATTATTTGCAATTCCAAATCGTGTGGAGAATGGGGTATGGAGGTCGGGGATGCAGCGTTCCCTTTCCAACAGGGAGAAGAATTCAAGGTAAGAAAAACTTACCCCTCCACTTGGAATCTTCCTGATGTGTTGACTTCAAACACCAGCATGGCTATCAGACCTGGAGGGCACCAGGTAGAGGAAAACTGAACTCTACAACTGATCATGCTCTGGCCTGTTTCCCAGGGCTGAGAGAGGGGGACTGGCCCAAAGTCACCCAGATGACTTTGTGCCCAAGCTGGGACTAGAGTTCACAGTCTCCTAATTTTTAGCCTGATGCTTCAAAAATGACACCAAACTGACACTCTCTACACTAAACTCTCTACACCAATGATGGCAAACCTTTTAGAGACTGAGTGCCCAAAAACTGGCCCCGCCCCCCACTCCACCCCGTTCCCCGCCCCTGCTCTGCTCCCCCATCCCCCACCCCGCCTGCCCACAGGGCCACTCACTGCCTCCAGGGCTTGCTGCAGATCGCCCAGGCAGCGCTATGGCGGTCACGCCCTCTGCCCACGCCCTGCAGCATCAACTGTGCATAATGGGGTGCAAGGGAAGAGTCTTGTCTACGCTGCCTGGCTGCCATGTCCTTGGCTGCGCTGCTCTGCGTGGACAACTCTCCTCCAGGGGGGTTGCTGGTGAGGAGGGGGTCATGGGGGGAGGCGAGGCTGGGGCAACGGCACATGTGCCCACAGAGAGGGCTCCGAGTGCCGCCTCTGGCACCCGTGCCATAGGGTTCGCCACCACTGCTCTATACACTCTCTCATGAATCTTATAGCAGCTAACAGTATAATAAACCATCTGAAGAGATTTCCTTTTTGATTTCTTCCAGCTCTTTGTCTGCTTTGATGCCAAAGAAGTCACTGTGAAAATGCTCAAGGGCGAGGAAATGAAGATCCCAAATAGGTTGAAACTGGATACAATGGAATACTTCTCTATTATTGGTGATGTTAGAATTAAATGTGTCAGATTTGATTGATCCCAACCCTTGTTTTGCACCCAGAAATAAAACTTGCATGAATAAAATGAAACTATCCTGGCATGATTCTGTCATTCAGTCTTTGCTTGTCTGTAACAATGCTGGTTTTTATTTGTTTGCATGCAGTAATTCTAATTTTGCTTCCTGTTCAAATGTGAAGAAAGGTCTGCTGGGATCTTTTGAAACTAATTCTGTGAAGCAAGGCATCAAATGCACATGCAGTTCAGGAAAACCTATGCCTTAAATAAAAGGGTTAGTTTTAAAAGATGCCACCAGATTCAGAAGCAGATCTCTTCCATGGCCCAGGTGTGAAACTTGCTGAGGTAACTCAAGTTAGGACAAATTCAAACCACATAGACAATTCTACTTGGTCAACAGAGTTTGCTTAAGAGGGAGCAAAGAGTCTGAGGTTGCTTTATGGCTGGGGCTGCTGGGAATTACAAGTTCCATACTCCTGGGCATAATATATATTTTTGATGACATGATGCAGGAAGGGTCAACTATAGATCTGTGGAGTAGTTTGCCTTTAAATGGGGAAATGCTGGGTGTAGATTCAATGAGCTTCTTTATAGTTTAAAATATTATTATAAATATTGTGTTTTCTTCTGTTGTCTTCCTGCCATTCCCTCCCCCTCTAGTGGAATAGGCTAGCCTGGGGTCCTGCAATCTTCATAGCTGAGTGGAGATTTGAATTGTGGACTTAATTTTAGGTTATTCCCGACCACTCACAGGCTATTGACCCCTGGAGGTTTAGAATGGAATGGAATTGGAATAAATCTTGGAGGTCTTCTAGTCCAACCCCCTGCTCAAGCAGGAAACCCTACAAATGGTTATCCAGTCTCTTCTTAAAAACTTCCAGTGTTGGAACATTCACAACTTCTGGAAGCAAGTTGTTCCACTGGTTAATTGTTTTCATTGTCAGGAAATTTCTTCTTAGTTCTAAGTTGGTTCTGTCCTTGATTAGTTTCCATCCATTGCTTCTTGTCCTGCCTTCAGGTGCTTTGCAGAATAGCTTGACTCCCTCTTTGTGGCAACCCCTGAGATACTGCAACACAGCTATCCTGTCACCCCTAGTCCTTCTTTTCATTAAACTAGACATACCCAATTCCAGCAACCATTCTTTATATATTTTAGCCTCCAGTCCCCTGATCATCTTTGTTGCTCTTCTCTGCATTCTTTTTTGGTGAGAGTGTTTCTAGCACAGAACATCATCATTTATATGCTCAGTGTATTTGATGTATGAGCTGTTATATTAAAAAAAATTGGATTTCCTTTCAAACTACAACCCTTGGGGGGAAATAGAAGATAGTAATTGCATTTGCTTTTTTATAAAAAAAAATTAGGATTTTTTATTTGTAATAACTTCCCCCCAGTCAGATCATCAAGTCTTGAACTTTTTTTTAACTTTGTTGCAAGTATAGATACTTATATAGCGAAAATCAATAGATCAAACTGTTAAGTGTAGTTTTTTTTAATGTAGGCTGGCTAATCCAATCTTAGTCATAAATATAAATAAATATAAATGCAGTATCTACAGTGGTACAAGTTGGAAATTCAGAGTTCAAACACTGTGCTAAATAAGTACCTAGAACTTGGATAGCAACCAGTGTTTTTATTTTTGCATTTTTGATGGGTGCCTTCTAATCATTGTTGACTCTTGCCAGGTGTCTGATGCATCTCCCAGTATCTAGCATGATGCCTTAAGCGCTACACTCAAAACTATTTTTTTTAACATTGTGAGCATTTAAATGCACAGTAGGCAACCTACCTTGATTTATTTCAGATATTTTAGAGTACAGCTTCCAATAATCACCACTGTGATTGTGCTGATTGAAGCTGATGGTAGTTGCCCAAAACACATGGACGACACTTGATCTCCAGCAAATTCCTTAAAGAGTTGAACATACTTGGATTAGTGATCAACCAAATAAACCCAAAACACTTTATTTAAACATGTCTGCAAGATGTGTAGGTGTATCTATGTGCAGGAGATAATGTAAGAATGGTTATAGGGTGCTTTCAGCCACTGGTCTTAATTCTTTCTGGTCACTTGACCTGAGCAATTGCCCCTTAGATTTCAAATAGAAGGCACGAGGGAGATTAGATAGATGATAGATGGATAATTTTCAGCAACAAAGTGTGAGCGATAGCATCTTTGCGTCCAATAACAGTGAACTGAAACGGTGTGAAAACGAAGGCGCCTGGAGTCACAACTCCCGACATACCCCGCGATTAGATTTAAGACCCTTGTTGCTTTCAACACAGCTAATGGGAGAGGGAGTACGAATCTCAGCAACCTGATCCATTTCCGTTTTGGTTGGTGGCCGATTGTATCATTGTGCTTCAGTTGCTCGGACGATCAGAGGAGGTGGAACGACATGGACTGGGGAAGCACTGAAGAGAACGGGGCAATGTGGACCTGGGATGATGATGATGATGATAATAATAATAATACTAACCAGGTTAGTAATAGTAGTAAAGTTGGAAGGGACCTTGGAGGTCATCTAGTCCAACCCCCTGCTCAGGCAGGAAACCCTATATCATTTCGGACAAATGGCTGTCCGTTCTCTTCTTAAAAACTTCCAATATTGGAGCATTCACCACTTCTGGAGGCAGGTTGTTCCACTGATTAATTGTTCTCACTGTCAGGAAGTTTCTCCTTAGTTCTAGGTTGCTTCTCTCCTTGATTAGTTTCCACCCGTTGCTTCTTGTCCTGCCTTCAGGCGCTTTGGAAAATAGCTTGATTCCCTCTTCTTTATGGCGGCCCCTGAGATGATTTTCTCGCCTGCAGCAGGCAAGCGCCCTACACAGGATTTGCACCTGACTGAAGCTTAGAGCCTTTCACACCATGCTGACTGGCTTATTTGGCTTTGGGGCAATGGCGGACGGAGCGCCAAAGAAGCTATGTTTCTTAAGGCCCTTTTTAAAGCCGTCACCGTCTTTTAGCTGTTGGCCTTGAAAGTTGCAAGATGCGCAATACCGAATTACTCCTTTTCTTCAAGGGGAGGCAATTTTAGCAGATCAAGCAATTGGGGGGTGGAGTGGGAGACATGCAAGGGGGCGGTGATGGAAGAGCAGCGTTTTGCGGAGGGAGATACGGTGGAAGGGGTGATGGTGGTTCCCTGAGTGGGATTGGATCCATCCTTGTAGCGTCCAGAAAAAGATGTGAGGATTAAATGATCGACCTCAGTAAATTATGCTAGCAGGAGACAGGTGTTTTGAGAGGCACTTTTCATTTGAAACGCTGAGGAGAAATTCCAAAAGTTGCGGAGGTGCCCGGAATTCTTAGCTAAGCTAACCCATTTCTTCTGAGCGAAATCCTAACCGTTCTCAATCACGTTTTGGTTCCCCATAGTCTCTTTTGTCTATAACTGCGTTATGCAAAATCTTGTCTCTGTGTGCGTGCGTGGTGGACAGAACCCTCCACTATCTCTTGCCCAATGTGTATTTCTGTGAGATTTTCTTTGGCCAATGAGAGCCAAATATGGCTCCAAGGCATGTCCCTTGGTTTTGCTAGATCCCAATTAAGCAACCAAGACAATCATTTAAGTCAGGATTTATTTGAAAAGTTTCAATTAAAATGATTTCCTTTTTAGAGGAGATGAACCTGGTACAAAAGCTTACATTTACTTTTATTGTTTGCAAACAAAAGAAAATCTTCAAAGAAAATGTTGATTGGTTTAGGAAAAGTCATCTGTCCAATTACATCATGAAAAATTAGACATCCATTAATATGTAAGCATAAGGATCGAAAAGAGCATTGTCTTCTGAATAAAAGCAAAAGAAACAGGCTGAACAGGAAATTGTTTTTATCTGCAGCGTATCAAGCACTTTGGCAAGGTCTTGATTTCTAAAAGTCTTTTTACATTCTTGTTAAATTAGACTTAATTTAATACATTTAAAAGATAAGATAACCTTTATTGTCATTTTTTTTTACTGTGGGCACAACAGCACACATCAAAAATGAAATTTAGTTGCCCGCTCTCAAAGTAAACACATACATGACACACACCTAAACACAACATATGTATAGACCCACACCCCTACATATGCATAACAAATAAATATTAAATACTATCCATCTTGAATATATAATGGAAGGAGGAAGCTTGAGAGTTCACAAGTTTAATGCTGTATGGAATGAAACTATGGCTGAATCTGGATGTTCTGCTTCGGATACCACAAAGTCTCCCAGAAGGTAGCAAGGAAGAGAGAATGAAATAAGGCCAATTAAAATGTAAGAAAATCCATATTAGTTAGCCAATGCAGTAGGACTACAAAACCCAATTGCAAGTATCACAAAGTCCATTCTATGTGGCCATCACCAAAGACAGGCTCCCAACATGATATTTTATCTTGAAAACATCCACTTTATAGTACGTTGGGGTCTCAGACTGCTTTATTCTATTACTATACTGTTACAAACTATTATTCTAAATCAGTCCTTCTAAATGCCAGAATCCTTATCACAGCTGCTGGATGTTTTGTGTGTGTGCGCGTGTGTGTGTGTGTGTGTGTGTGTGTGTGAGTGAGTGAGTGCCTGGAGTCAGTATTTTTTTTTTTTAACTTATGGAAACTACCTGAAATGGTTCGCCATTACCTGCTTTCTAGGGCTGAGAGTGGCTGGCCCAAGATCACCCAGCCAGCTTTGTGTCTATGGTGGGAACTCCCAGTCTCAGGGTCTCTAGTCTGGTACCTTAGCCATTAGACCAAACTGGTTCTCCCTGATGCTTTAAATCATGAAAAACCTACTGTATTGCATCCCCTTAGAGAAGAGCTGACTCCCTACTCCAGTGGTTCTCAACCTGTGGGTCGGGACCCCATTTGGGGTCAAACGACCATTTCATGGGGGTCGCCAAACCATGCTGTCCACCATTTTTTTCCCTTTTCCCTAGCTGTCCTACTCCCTCTTATTGGTGGCCACACCCAGTTGGGGGTCACCACAACATGGGGAACTATATTATGGGGCCACGGCATTAGAAAGGTTGAGAACCACTGCCCTACTCAAATGTACATATTACTTGTAAGGTTTTTAAAGAGTGGGCAGAAAAATGCTTCAAATAAATAAGGATGCACATGGACTAGCTAGCATCTCTTTCCATAAGTCAGCAATATGTCAACAATTTTTATACACCTGAGCAAAAAGGAATCTGTAGGGAATCACTTCCAAATTTTTTCATGCTGTGTATAAATCCTTTTCACTCTAACCCTGTCTCTGTGATTAAGCAGATAAATATGAATGGGTTATAGTTTAAATGTGCAGTTCTGGATTTAAGCGATTTACTTGCCTTGTGAGAAAACTTAATGATGGAACTAATATTTTGAAGGGAATTACAAAAGAGAAATTTTTTAAAGAAATCTTGCTGCTTTCCTTTTTGTCTTTCTTTTCCTACGCGCTAACACTTAATTGAGTTCAGCTGAGGTGTCCATTTGCTTGCAGTTCTAGCTGCACTCTCTTCACAGGGTTCCCTTGTAATTCTTTCATTTAATGGGAATAATTAACATTTCCACCTGCGATCTGCGTAAAACCTTTGCAAAAACGTGCCCCTTCCCCTTAAGAGGTTCTCTTGGGCCGTAGAATTGCAAATCTAGACCCTCCCCCAATGCAGCCAATCCGCAACACCACACTCTTTATCCACAAATCACAATTGCACCATGGCTAAAACCATTGGTTAGTCGTGTTCCGAAAGTCTGCTGGGAACTGTAGTCATATGGCTCTCCTTTTGACTCCCCCCCCCCGCCATAGAAATACATTCATGGGTCTGATCAAGAGGATTTCTGGGAGTTGTAGTCTAAATGGACTTTTCCTTGCATACGTTCAAAAAGATAAGTTTCTCTCCAAGCCAAGAATAGGTCGTGCAAACATTTTTATTACTTCTATTTTTTAATGTCTATTTAACACACGTGTATGCACACGCCCTCTCACCGCTCCGTTGATCAACCCTCATAATCCGCCACAGATTCGTTTCTCCATCTCATTAATTGGTGCTTAGCGTTTCACTCCTGATTGGCTGGTAATAAAAAAAAAGCACCTGCAGCTGAAAGCTATTTCAAGATTGCGGGGAAACAGCCTGGGGCGATCAAGGGTGTTGGTTTGATTTGCGGAGCGTATTGCGACTTCTCTGAGAAATCGACAAAACGATGGCAGTGGTGAGTAGAAAAGGCAATGTAGTTTGTTTGTTTTTTCCCTGGAGTCCAGGAGTGCTGATGTTGCGCGGCCGGGAAGGGAAGTGAGAACAGTAATATATGACTATACTGTTTAGAGCGGTGTTTTTGAGGCTCGGCAACTTGAAAACGGCTGGACTCCAACTCTCAGCATCTCCTAGCCAGTATGGGAGTTGGAAGTCCACCCATCTTCAAGTTGAAAAACATTTCTTTACAACTTTGGTGTAATAAAAGAAGTTAGCATTTTTTTAGAAGTGCAAAAATTACATGGACCTCGTGATAAAATATACTGAAGAGAACATTAAAGAGAGTGGTCCATAGAATAGAACAGAATAACTGAGTTGAAAGAGACCTTAGAGGTCTTCTAGTCCAACCTCTTGCTCAGGCAGGAAACCCTATACCGGGATAGGCAACCTTGGCTCTTTTGTGGACTTCAACTCCCAGAATTCCTGAGCCAGCCTCCTTTCTATTCCACAGTCCTGGTGGGAGAATCTACAATGTGTGTTTCTCAATTTTGGCAACTTTAAAGTGGGTGGACTTTGACTCTCAGAATTCTGGGAATTGAAGTCCACCCATCTTAAACTAACCAAGTTGCATCAGATGCTGAGAGTAATTGACCCAGCTGTCGGGTTGCTTTTCCACATTTTGTTCCAATCCATTTTGAATATTATCCTTATGTGGAGTGTAATTGGATTATGTAATGAACGAAAAAATATTTATTTTCCACTGCTTTGGATCTCTCACTTATTGCTCTCCTCTGCCAAACCTGGCTTCTCACTGTGAGAAAAGAAGAAAATATTGTCTTTTTTCTGCAATGTGCACAGATATGTACAAACTTTGTACTACATACCTTTACATAAATGCTTTGTACTTTCCAAGCCGAACTATCTGAAATTGCCCCAGTTACTTGATCTTCTGGGTTTCCCCACAGCTGCAGTCCCATATTGAATTGCAAGGTTGTTTTTCTTCTTTTCCTTATATAAAATTTTTATGGAAAGCTCTTTGTAATGAGTTTAATGTATACTAGTTGTTTTCTATCTATTTAGAATAACTTTATTCATAAGCAATTAAGTTTATACGACTTAGCTTAAATAAAACCAGCTTCATGCACTATGCTAAACTTTAATTGGGTTTGCTTAGCTTTGGTTTAATATGTGCAATCCAAATATTGTAGGTTGCAAAATACAGCAAAATGGAATGGAATGAGAGGAAGTCCTTGAAATGGGGAATGAAGAATGGTCAGATAAGAGAGGGCATATCCTGTGTAGTCCATAATGGGCAGAGAATGAGGTTCAGAGGGGACCCTCCTTAGTTTCTCAGACTCTGAAGGAGACAGAAAAAAATTCCTATTTTCAGACTTGCAAGATTCTGTTATAATGCAGCTTTACAACAAAATAGAATTTGCTATCTAGTCCTGTCTCCTCTCTGGTCTCCCTGGGAAAATTAAGAAAAATAGGTTAGATTAAAATATTAATAAAATATATTTAAAAAAAGAAAAATAGGTTAATATGATGTGCAACTCTAGTCAATTCACGAAATCATGTGAAATAAATCAGTGATGTGAGAATTTGGTTATAGTCTGTGGTGAAGATGGAAAATTTGTGGAAACTCTGAAGTGAATGGAAAAACAATTTTAGGTTTCTGGGAAAACACTTCCAGAATTCGAAATGCATGAATTTTTTTTAAAAAATAACATTTTTTAATCTAATCTTTAAAAATAACAAGGGAAGCACATCTAAGCATAAAGGAGGAACAAGTGCTTTTTGCATGAAAAGAACTTTTCTCCTAAAAAAAAAGTGCTTAATACATCATCTGCTGCTCAGAGAAATCCTGCATGTTCCAGTTTACATAGAGGTTTTATATAAAGAAAAAAAAAAAAACCAAGATCCCTGGGGGAATTTTTTTTTCCTGATTTTTTTTCCTGTTCCTTCAATTTTTATCACTGGTCATGAGCTAATTACAGAATGTTGATTAATGTTCTTTTATGTTTTGGGCTGGAAGTTTGACTATTCTCATCCCATGCTCTTCTTTTTTAGCAACTGGTTTCTAACATGAAAATCAGGTCTGGTGACTGCATCAAAATAAAAGCCAAGATAGAAATAGATGCTGAAAGGTTTGTCAATAAGAGAATTGTACTTTGATTACAAAGAATATGGGGTTGGATGGATATTGGGTTGAATTCATTCTGTGATAAAGGGACTGAATCCATTTTTGTTCAGTGGAAAGTTGGGCCTGCACATGTATCATTTAAATGTATCATTCCTTTGTTGTAATTTTTTGGGGAGAACCTAGGTCAGTGATGGTGAACCTTTTAGAGACCAAGTGCCCAAACTGCAACCCAAAACCCACTTTTTATTGCAAAGTGCCAAGGCTGCATCAGTATTGTGGTTCCCTTGGGGGGGGAGTGGGGTGTGTGGCCCACTGGGTGGGTGTGGCTGCATTGGACACGGCAGACTGAGTGAGCGTGACCAGGGCCAGGGTGGCAGGGGCCAGTCCCTCACCATCTCCGGGGCAACCCTGGGGGCCAACACCACTTGCTCGCTCACTTCCTACCCTGTCGCTTCCAAACACCACGTGCTTGCTACTCTGGCAAACTCTGCTGGGGCAACAGTGCACATGCCCACAGAGAGGGCTCTGAGTGCCGCCTCTGGCACGTGTGCCATAGGTTCACCACCACTGACCTAGGTAGTTTTTTTTTTTTAAAGTCACAATGAATTGTCTTTGCATGGTTATATAATGATATTCCCTAAATAGAATGGAATGGGAATGGGAATAGGAATGGAATTGGAATTGGAATTAGGATAGAATAGAATAGAATAGAATAGAATAGAATAGAATAGAATAGAATAGAATAGAATAGAATAGAATAGAATAACAGTTAAAAGGGACCTTGGAGGTCTTTTATCCAGTCTATCCCCTTGCTCAGGCAGTAAACCCTATACCATTTCAGATAAATGGTTGTCCAATATCTTATGTTGGAGCATTTACAGTGAAGGAATGCCAAATATACAATCCTTCAAGGAATTATAGTTCGAAGTCATTTAAAACACAGAGAAAATGAAGCATAATGGTCTTTGACTTGAAAAAAAAGCTTGAGCTTGGAATTGTTCTGCAATTCAGGGTTTTTTTGCATGTGGAGTACAAGCAAGATCTAAGGCAGTGTTTTTCAAACTTGCCAACTTTCAGATGTGTGGATTTCAGCTCCCATGTTTGCTGGCTGGGGAATTCTGGGAGCTGAAATCCACACACGTCTTGCTGATATTGAAAAATACTGATCCAGGGAAGGCAGGGTGTTAAAATTTGCCAGGCACATAGAATGAGAATGTGAACATGGTTTGGCACATCAGGTCTAACCTTTGAATGACTCAAAGGTCCAACATGTATTCATAAATTGGATAGTTTTGGATCAAATCTCAAATTACTCTGAGGATAATTGCCGGACAGTAATTCTAATGCAGTCGAACTATATTTTCTGCTCTGGAAGAGAAAAACTTAATTCTCTCCTGTGGAATTGGGAAATAAAGGTAAAAGTACAGAGTAACCTTGTAAGTAGGGCTGCTCTGGACATCTCGTCTTTATGGTTTCTTTTTTATACTTGCACATGTACTGTGGATGTAGAGGTCTGAATATGGCAATAGATTTCTTGGACTATCTACTAATGATCAAAACTTGTTCTTTCTAGTTTTGCCATCAACTTGGGCCAGAATGAATCTGAGCTGGTCCTTCACTTCAACCCTCGCTTTGAGAGTTATGGGGATCTTAGGACCATTATTTGCAATTCCAAATCGTGTGGAGAATGGGGTATGGAGGTCAGGGAGGACACTTTCCCTTTCCAAAAAGGGGAAGAATTCAAGGTAAGAAAAACTTACCCCTCCACTTGGTATCTTCCTGATGTGTGGACTTCAAACACCAGCATGGCTATCAGACCTGGAGGGCACCAGGTAGAGGTAAACTGAACTCTACAACTAATCAAAATAAAATCAAAGTAGCTGATCAAGATAAACAGAAAGGTTGACCTCACTAGACAACATTGGTGGAGGTTGTATTGGAGGGAATGGCTTTGCTTGAAACAAATTAATGTCTTGTGGATTACGTTTTTTAAAAACCCTATTGCACTAGCGCAGTGGTTCTCAACCTTTTTAATGCCGGGACCCCCAACTGGTCGTAAGTCGAGGATTAAACCGGTCGTAAGTTGAGGACTACCCAACCGGTCGTAAGTCGAGGACTTTCCCTGCCCGGGAGCGCCGCACATGCGTGGTGCCGCCCCCTGCGCCGGCCGAGGCGTAGCTGGTAAGCGGCAGAGACAGAGCAGGCTGACCACCGGCTGGGCCACCAGCTGGCCCAGCCCAAGGGAGGTAAGGCACCTGCTGGAAAAGGGGGAAAAAATGGCGGACAGCCTTGCTTGGCGACCCCCCTGAAATGGTCGATCGACCCCAAATAGGGTCGCGACCCATAGGTTGAGAACCGCTGCACTAGCGGTTTAACCATTACAAGATGCTTCAAAAATGACACCAAACTGATGCGCTCCCTCTCATGAACTTTAATAGCACCTAACAGTATAATAAACTATCTCAAGGGACTTTCTTTTTGATTTCTTCCAGATCTTTGTCTGCTTTGATGCCAAAGAAATCACTGTGAAAATGCCCAAGGGCGAAGAAATGAAGTTCCCAAATAGGTTGGAAGTGGATACAGCGGAATATTTCTCTATTGTTGGCGATGTTAGAATTAAATCTATCAAATTTGATTGATTCCCAACTCTTGTTTTGCACCCAAAAAAAATAAAACTTGCATGAATAAAGTGAAACTATCCTGGCGTGATTCTGTCATTCAGTCTTTGCTCCTCCGTAGAAATGCTGGTTTATATTTGTTTGCAAGCAGTAATTCCAATTTTGCTTCCTATTCAAATGTGAAGAAAGGTCTGCTGGGATCTTTTGAAACTAATTCTGTGAAGCAAGGCATCAAATGCACATGCAGTTCAGGAAAATCGTTCAGGTTTTTCAGTTCAGGGTTAGTTTTAAAAGATGCCACTAGACCCTTCCTAAATTTTGGCTGCCTGGGAGAGCAGAGTAAGAAGCAGATCTCTTCTCTTCCATCGTCCAGCTATGAAACTTGCTGGGGTAACTCAAGTTTGGACAAATTCAAACCAAGTGGACAATTCTATTTGGCCAACAGGTTTTGCCAAGAGGGAACAATGTGTCTGAGGTTGAGTATGACTGGGGCTGCTGGGAATTGTGGTGTTCTACAGGCTGCTGAATTACAAGTTCCATACTCCTGAGCATAGTGTATATTTTGACTGACAGGATACAGGAAGAGTCAACAACGTATATAGAGTAGTTTGCCTCTAATGGGAGTTGCTGGAATTAAATTCAATGAGGTTTCTTATAGCTTCCTTATAGCTTATAAATCTTGTGTTTTTCCTCCTGTTGTCTTCCTGCCATTCCCCCCCCCCCCCAAGCTTGTGGAACAGGCTAGCCTGGGGTCCATAGCTGAGTGGGATTTGAATTGTGGACTTAATTTTAGGATATTCTCTACAACTCACAGGCTATTGACCCCTGACAGTGCTAAATTTCTATTGAAGCCAGGCTAGACCTGTATATTAATGTAAAATGGTTTGTCTGGATTTGGCCTAGAAGGCTGGGCCACTCCAACCACAGGTTGTAAATCATGCCTTATGGTTTGGTGTATTGATAAAAGACAATATGTGTAGCTCAGGGTTAAACTGTGTGGTCCTTGATGTTTTCCAAGAGCTTGGTGGTTTGCTTGCAGACATTTCATTACCCAACTATCATCACTAAAATCATCTGGCACTGATGTTACTCAATTTTGTAATGAAATGTCTGGAAGAAAACCAAGTTCAGAGAATACTAAGGACCCTCATGGTTATGTTAAAAGCCAGCTAATTATGGCTTGTGTAATCTGTAATTAGTTTTTAACAGGTGTGAATGAAGCCCAAGTAATTCTGGCTTGCCCCTCACCACTCTCCTACTATTGGCTTCTGGTGGTTCATTCTGCCCCTGAAACCCTAGTTCCTCTATTGTTTGAACCCCATTCTGTAATGTATAAGAAACCACATTTTCCTTATGGATGGGTGTCTGAGGGAATCTTCAAGATTTATGGAAGATAATAAAAATGGATTATGGGCTATTAAGTTGCTGTTTATTCTTAGTAGCCATATAGATATTCTCCATGATGATCCATCCTTAACCTGGTCCCTCAGATTTTGCAGAGGTGCCCCTATTACCATTGTGCTCATCCCCTTTGCTGCTGATCTTCCTGATCATTTATACCTCAGCAAGAACTCGAATTGGTTTGTTTTTCAACCGTGGCAATTTTAAGAGGTGTGAATTTCAACTCCTATGCTGGCTGGGGAATTCTGGCAGTTGGAGTTCACACAACCTGCCTCCAGAAGTGGTGAATGCTCCAACACTGGAAGTTTTTAAGAAGAGACTGGACAGCCATTTGTCCAAAATGGTATAGGGTTTCCTGTCTGAGCAGGGGGTTGGACTAGATGACCTCCAAGGTCCCTTCCAACTTCATCATCATTATTATTTATTACATCTTACAGTTGCCAAGGTTGAGAAAAACTCTTAGGTTATCCACTGTTTTCTTGGCTGTCTACGAGTCCTCAGAAAACTTCTCCAACACCAAAGTTCAAAGAACTTTAAAGAACAGGAGAAGGCAGACTTTCCAAGCCTACTTATTGTGTTTCTTGGGGGGGGGGGGAATACTGCTCCTTCAATATTTCCAATTTCCCCCGCAGAAGAAAAAAAAATATGAAAGCCTAAAACGGGGAAAAGAAGCGCTTTGTCTGTGACGGGTGTTGGCAATGTGCGCCAATCGCGACTCCAAGGCCACCTGGATCAGGAGCACCGGTGGGTGGCGGAGGTAGTCAAGATCTTGGCTAGAGACTCCGCGTGGGTGGGAGGGGCAAGAGGCGGGGAAGGACGGGGAGGCTTCGACTCCTATGAAAGAGGATTCTAGGTGGGCGTGGCCAGCGGCGGGTTGGACGGGGAGGCTTCGACTCCTATGAAAGAGGCGGTTCGGTTTCGCGGCGATTTCGATTTTTCTGTGCAGTTCGCCGGTCCTCCTGGAGCCCGTGTCATCCTCCGCGTCTCTGAACGCGCTTGCCCTTCTCTTTGCACCAGCCGTTAGCTGCTCGTCCGACGTTTTGCTTCTGGCTTTGAGTACATAGTAAACAGGTTTCTCTCTCGTCTTAAATCTGGTTTGTTTAATGACTCGGGGTTTTCTCGCTGCCTTCTGCGGAACGGTTTTGGAGTCGAAATGAATTGCCTCCGAGTTGGTCGGCCCACGGGGTAATGATGTGCAACGCAGCGTAATTAAGAAATTAATTGCAATTTTATTTATTGGCATTGCTGTGGGAGATGCCATGGCGTTAATTAATAGTAAATATTAATTAAATATATTATTTAAGTAGTGTTTAATAGCTAAGTGCTTATTTAACATTTAGAACCAAGTATATTTGGTTTTAATATTTTTTATTTTAAATGCTCTATTTTCCGGTTGTGCACCACCCAGAATTTGGTACAAGATGGAGAGGCCATATAAACCTTTTCAATAAATAAAATGCTATCTTATGAGGGGACTTTCAAATGTCAAATTCAGATTTTCAAGCATCCTTTTTGACTAGTGGAGTCAAATGGTGAATGGAAAGTACTGAGGTTTTTTTTTTTTTTTTTAATTTGCTCCAGTTCTGTCCCCATGGAGTTGAAGGAGTGGTGTCTAAAAAGTGTGAAAAAAGTTTTCTCCCTTAAATTTTGAGCAACTACCTTGTGAGACGGTACAAGAATTTTTAATTTTTTTTAAAGATGGAAAAACTTAACTGTGCCTGAAAGCATTTCATCAGATGTATGTACTCCGATATGTGGGTGGAACTCATTTCGTGGCTTGTTGGGGATAATGGACAGGGATTGTTTGTAAGCCTTTTAAAAAAAAATCAGGAAGTACAACTTAATTATATCAAAATTACTAGAAAGAGAAAGATACAGGTAATCCTCAACTTATAACAACTGAGCCCAACATTTCTGTTGCTAAGTAAGACAGATGTTAAGTGAATTGTGCCCCATTTTACATCCTTTCTTGCTACAGAAAGCTGGATGAGCATCACTGATTTATGCTGCTGGTGGTGTTGGGGGTGACACCAGTACTGTATTATATCTACTGCCTCTGCCTTTACATTTTGCACATTTGCCTGGTACAGGGGTCTGCAACCTTGACAACTTTTAAGACTTGTGGACTTTGGCTCCCAGAATTCCTCAGCCAGCATAGCAAGGTTGCGCGAATAACTGAAGCAGCAGGCAGAAGGCAAACGAGCCTGCGGAAAAACATCAGATGCCTTGGAAATATTTATGCAGGAATCACCAAGCCCTCATCTGCAAGTGGTGTGCTGGATCCAGAGTTCACAAAGATCACATCTAGGTCTCCGTGGAGCAAGCAGCCCAAGAATTTAAGGTGGGTGGATGGGAATCCTCTGTTTCTAAAATGCTGCTATAAGAATGGTCTGTTTTTCAAAAAAAATTAAAAGAAAATGTGGACAAAACTTGGGACCAGAGCTGGCTGTGGGATTCTGGAAATTGAAATCTACAGATCTTAAAGTTGCCAAGGGGGTGGGATGGGGGGAAACATGGACTTAAATGTTCCAGAAAATGGATTTCTTTTAAAAAAAAACGAAACTTTTAAAAAAATTGAGCTCTTTTCTATTCAGTTAGTAAAAAACAAATTGCCATGTTGGAGAGCAGAGACTTCCTTAATTGCAATGCATGAAAGACAAAAAGTCAGATAATCTGTTGCATATATTTTTCCTTCCCGAAGTGTCTATTAAATTGTGGTGGAATGATTTGACAACCTGATGGGATAATTATTGGTACTGAAGGACTGAAAAGCTTAGTTTTTAATTTATTAGCTTTTCTTTCAGATAGACAAGGTAAATATATAGTGGCATTTTCTCCCATTATTTGCCCTAAACCAGGGGTAGGCAACCTCGGCTCTTTTATGACTCATGGACTTCAACTCCCAGAATTCCTGAGTCAGCTGACTCAGGAATTCTGGGAGTTGAAGTCCATGAGTCATAAAAGAGCCGAGGTTGCCTACCCCTGCCCTAAACCATGGTTGAATTGAGGCAGGTTTGGACAATGTGTAATCCCCATATGTCGCCAAATTATTGATCCCATTTTAAGTGAGCTACAGCTTGCAAAATCTTGTATCTTTTAATAAAATAAAGGTAGTCCTCGACTTACCACCACAATTGACCCCAACATTTATGTTGCTAAGTGAAATATTTGTTAAGTGAGTCTTGCCCCATTTTTACGACTTTTCTTGCCACATTTAAGTGAATCACTGCAGTTGTTAAGTTAGTAACATGATTGTTAAGTGAATCTGGCTTCCCCATTGATCTTGCTTGTCAGAAGGTCACAAAAGGTGATCACATGACTCTGGAACATTGCAGCCATCATAAATACAAATCAGTTGCCAAGCACCCAAATTTTGATCCTGTGACCACGGGGATTCTGCAACATTCGTAATTGTGAAAAATGATCATAAGTCACTTTTTTCAGTGCCATTGTAACTTTGAATGGTCACTAAACAAACTGTTGTAAGTCAAGGACCACCTGCATGTTAGTCAGAAACCCTACCTAACATGGCTCTGCTCTTATAGTGTCTCCCTCTTAACTCTTGGTCCAGCTACTATGGGCTCTTGGATGCTGCAGTGTCGTCCATAATACCTGGAAAGCTATCAGCTCCTCATTTTTATTGTAACTTTGTGTGATTCTTTGACGTTCAGTTGGCCACAAGTGAT